AAAGTGCTAAACCATAGGCCATGTTTGGATGAGTGCACTCTGAATCTCTCTTATCTCATCAGTCTGTGCAGCAAAGAATGGAGAATTTATAGGGGTGGAGAGAGAGCATGCAAGGGAGTGCAAGCCTGAATAGTTCACACTGTAATAGTTCACACTCTGTCTTAAGCGGAGGCGGAGAGTTTCTTGTTTTCTGGTCTATACTACAAGAAATACTTTTACATGAGTCAGATAAAAACACGTAATAGCACTGAGAGCAGGGACTGGACTGCAGTAGGCTAGCCCACTCCCTCCAACTACACACTCGAGTTATTCACATTACCATTGGAAATGTCAAAGCTATTAAGAAATGTTGCTAGGTATTTCAATGTGCCAACACCCTAAAAGATTTTCAGCTTGGCAAAAATACTAACAGGGGAAATGTGGGCCCAAAAGGTTTTCTTGGCATAAATAAAAAAAAGGATTACTATAAGGCTGTTTTTAAACATGGAAATTGAACAGAAGCAATCCTGAATTAACTTAATTATTTGAACTCTGTGGCCCAGCTGAAAGGGTTATGTCAGTGGAAGGGATGTTGGTAATCCACTTTCAAGGTCAAGTTGTACATGTGAGTATTAATAATTGCATTTCATGATTAATAACTGCAGTTACCTATTATGGTATAATACTAATATGTTGATAATTATTAATAATAATGATAAGAAATAAGTAAGAGATGATGAGATTTTGATACACAATAATTGTGTGGCCATTAAGAACTACCCTACTGAGTGTACTAATCAATAGCTAATCAAAACAGTTGAGAAATATTTGGAAAGGAACATGTAGAGTAGCTAAACACATATTTTAGAGGGTGGCTTAGGGGCTTCAAGCTTTTTGCAGGGTGACTTTACTATGCTCACGCACATAATTATTGCCAGGGTGCTTCAGCAATGTCAAAAGGGTTGTGAGTATGGAAATGGATAATGAACAGCTAGCAAGGATGGATTCCTTGCATCTAGGGTAGGAGAGGGCTAACCTCTGTCTCAGATCCTGCTGGAATAAAACAGCAAATGCTGACAGCATCCTTTGAAAATGGTAGAATTACTTAGCCTTCTGCCTTCTCCCAGATGATGCTACTGTTTTAGCTGCCACATATGAAACCAACCCCAACAATTACAAAATCTCACAGTAATATCCAGGGCTGAGCAAGAGAGACAGAAGGAGCCTACATGCCAGAATTCCTATGCCAAAGAGAGAAAGATCTAAATATTGTTCTCCTACCTCATGACAAGAGACCATTTGGATACTAGCAATAGATATGAGATTTCATTTGTGCAGGCTGGCACTAAGCCATTCAATACAGAATACACTGAAATAGGCAGACAGTTGAGGTAGAGGAAGGACTAGATCCTATTAGGAAGCCCTTGGTGTCTGCCAGCTGTGTGCCTTCACAAAATGGGATATGAATTCTAGCCCTGCCTTTGGCACACCCATCAGCTTTTTGCATTAGAAAAATGTAAAAATGTAGTGTTTCTAAAGAGAAAGCATTGGGAACAGGTAGTTTTTTGCTTTCTCAAGGTGAATGGGACCTCCCTTCTAAGACCATCTTGGATGGAGAGTGTTCAAAGCTGCAGTTTTCCAGAGAAGCATCCTTGCCACCAGAGTATTGGAGGACAATAGCCTTCTTACATCTCTGCTGCTAAAAATAACCCAGTGTAAAAGAAAATTCAAGGTTGAGAGGAGCAGCAAGGTTATGGGGAGGAATAATTTGACTCCAGGACTCTATGTTGTTTGCACTGTACTTCATTCTTGCTAATTAAAAAAGCATAAAGTCCCATCACCCCCTTCAGAATATTTAGTTCTAGATGATTGACTCAAGTTGCCAAGCTCTTTGCTCCTTCTCGAGTGGCAGCATTGGCTCAGCAGTCTGAGGAGCCCTTCTGTGGAGGCAGCAGCAGGGTCCAGCCTTGTCTGGGTACACGTGGAACCAGAGACAAGGGGAGGAAATGCAGGACACAGGTAATGTGTTTACAAATGGATCTGTGTTGATTCCCACACTTAAAATGCTGAAGCACATTCCCTTACCTGCACTCCAGTAATGGATTCTGGACCTTTTTTCTGCCTTCAACCAGTTCCTGGTGTTGTGGGTGCAGCTACAGGGCACTGATGCTTTAGGGCTGGTTGGTGTCTGCAAAGACATCCATCCTCATGGAAACCTGTGAAACCAGATACCGTGCTCTACAGATATGCAGTCTTGTGGTATTACCACATAGCCACAAAGGACTGTAGCTGTCAGCCTTGCAGGAGAGAAGTCTTCCCTGGTTTCTGTGCTGGGTGTTCTTAACTGTCTTTCAGCAGGTATGCATCCTTTGGCTCCTGGCCCCTTGCTCCCCTGCTTATCTGGTTTACCTCCTCGTATTTTTCCTCTGCTTTGCTCCTATTCTGGCATTTTTCCTACTCCCTCCTCTTACCCCAGTCTAACCTGACTATATGTGCTCAGTGGTGTACGAAGTAGCAGAAATTTCAGCTGGAGTTTGGGGGTACTCTCAGAAATGACCTTGTGCTCTGCATTCCTTCTTGCCCCTTTCACATCCTTCTACGTCAGAGTCTGAATCCTGCAGATCAACAGTGTTGCTACAATGCAGCAGGGCAAGAATTTTCTCTAGGTATCTGTAAATGAGCAGAAACACAGATTAAAAGCCAGCCTGGCACCTATGGACAAAGGGTGCCTATAGGCAGGTGTCTAGCACACCTGTGGCTGTGGTTATCTCTGAGAACTTCATGCGATGGGGATGCATGGCACTTCTCTTTCTTTAGAGGAAAACCCAAGCTTTCACTAGTGAGAAGTCTCAGGTCGATTTTGTGCAACACCAACAAGCTTTCAAAACTGTGTGCTAGCTTTGGCTAGCCCAGCCTCGCTTCATCCAGCTGTTACAAAATTTTGCCCTAAATGATTTCATCTATTTCTGCAGCTACAGCAGCACATTAATCTGAAAGCAAACTGTTTACTTATTTGCTTTTAATTATTTATGGTAATGAAATAGCACACATATCTCAAAATTTTCCACAAAGATGAATACTCTTGTAGTTCAGATCTGTGGCCATGAAAGAAAACACAGTTCCTCACTGCTGCTTATAATGTTTATTTGTTTTTAACTTCAAAACATAGGTGATTTTCTCAAGATGAATAGAGTAATGGGGGAAATGAAGGTGGGCTCTCTTTGTAACTTTCCCAAGAAACACATCTGGAAAAACATACTTTAGCAAAACAACTACATTTCAGCACACCCAGACAGCGAGATTCCAAAAATTCATAAATAGCAGAGATGTTAGCAAACAGTGCTGCTGAGGTTTTTTTTCCTTCTTCTTCTTCTTCTTTTTCTTTTTTCTTTATTTTTCTTTCTTTCCCCCTTGTTTAACTTGCAAGTGGCACTAAAAGAACTCGCAATGTCTACAGCTAACACAGAGACATTCTTAGAGAAGTCTTTGAGTATGCAGCTAACTTAGAAGATGAGGAATTATGAAGACATACCTTCTCACTTTGATTCTGTAAAATAAATCCAAAATAATCTGATGTTTTAACATCTGATAGTCTGGTTGTTGATTTAGGCCTACAGTGTAGCTATTTATATCACTATCCTTAATCACTCCTTAGTTGGGTTTACCTAAAAGTTACTTTTTACCCATAAACAGGTACAAAAACTTTCTTTAGAAGCAACAGTGAAGTGTTGGGTTATATTTTGTAAATAGCTCTGATGCCACACTTCATCAGTACTCTTAAAACTTAAGTATCAGTTTTAGTTTCATTGCCTGTACAACACCTCTTGCTCCACTTTATAGTCAGGTGGAAAAACAATTGGTTTGGAGAGAGATCAGTAAAATTAAAGGCCAGCTCTCCTGAATCAGAGTGCTACAGCCAGGCCTTGTTCACCAGGAAGGTCAGGGGAGGTGGAAATAATTCTGCAAACCAATGAGGAAAAGTATGAAGCCACTGCTCAAACTACAGTGACCAGAAGATGCCAGGATCTATGCATAGAGACACACAGAGTCAGGCACAGGCGATGACCTACGAAGGCGACCTGTGAAGACAGGCTGGGAGTTGGAGCTGTTTAACCTGGAAAAGGCTTTGGGAGTCTTTACAGTAGCCTTCCAGTACCTGAAGGGAGCCTACAAGAAAGCTGGAGAGGGACTTCTTACAAGTGATAGGACAAGGGAAAAAGAATTTAAACTGAAGAACAGTAGATTTAGATTAGATATTTGAAAGAAATTCTTTACTGTGAAGGTGACACAATGCAACAGGTCACTCAGAGAGGCTGTGAGTGCCCCATCCATGGAAGTGTTCAAGGCCAGGCTGGATGGGCTTTTGAGCAACTTGGTCTAGTGTCCCTGTCCATGGCAGGGGGTTTGGAATGAGATGATCTTTAAGATCCCTTCCGACACAAACCATTCTATGATCATAGAATCAGATACAGTCCTGTGAGGTCCTTGGGGCCTGGGAGCCCCACAGCAGGCATGCCTGGGGGCTCTGCTGGGAGAACACGGCTTTTGCCCCTCGCAGCTGTTGGAGCTGCAGCAGCTCCACAACAGTCAGGAGGGCCCGTCTTCTACAGCTGGGGCTGTGCAGCACCACAGAGCTAAAACAATCTTCTATGGCTGTAACTGTCAAATAGCAAAAGACATATTTGGAAATGTAATCTGGAACTGAAAAAAATTGGATAGGAACATATTAGTTATTTTTGCTAGCTAATGCTCTCCTCAAGTCAGTCTTTCTTTTCCTGCATGCACGTGGAAACCAAGTGTTTCAGGCACTGGATGTGCTGCCCACATTGTAACATACTTTGTAGCGTTTTGTACCTACATAGAAGGAAAATATCACTTTGCCATCTGATTTGCTTGAGTTGCATAGTCATCAGTGCTATAGCAAGAAACAGATGGAATGGGAATTAGGAAGTCACTCAAGCACGAATCTGAAGAGGGTCTTCCTGAACAGAAAGTGTGTATGTATTAAGTAGCTGCAAAACTTACAATCTATCACATTCAATATCAGGGTTATTAGATGGTGTATCGAGAACACCAAAATACACTTCCCCCTTTGCTGGAGGTGGGGTATTGGTTGGACTTCCCACCCCGGAATCAGGGCTTGGTGCGGGGTGCATTTCTGCTGCATACTTCTCTTCTTTCTGAGAAGGCTGTGGTTGTTTTTGCTTGAGGTTTTTGAAACGTTTGAGCTTCACAGGGTCCTTGACTTCCTTGGCACAATGGAACAAGATGAAAATGTCCTTCCGAAATTTGGAGCTCATTCCAAAGTAGATAATGGGATTGTAAAAGCTAGCAGACTTTGCAAACAAACTGGCAAGGATGCTGGTAAGGTTGGGCACAGGGTGACCATAGGCCGACCATATAGAGATGACAGCATATGGTGACCACGCAATAATGAAGGCTGTGCAAATGACAATAGAAACCTGAAAGACAGAAGAAGAATAGTCTTAAATCTATTCTGGAAGACTACATCAGGGAAGCAATACACTGGGAATAGTAGCTTGAACACTTGGCCAGAAGGGAAATGTTCAGGTAGCCCTGAGGGTATGGCTTACAGGAGAATACAGGCAAGCAAATGGTTTGCTCTGATGAGGTCAGGCAGGCCTGACTTCAATATATTGAATTTTGGCATTATGGTGTGGTTAGGCGATACCTCATCTAATGGAATGAAAATAGCTACGTTCCCCTGTATGTTTATATAAATGCAGAAGGTTTCCAGTAGACTTAAGTAAATGGTAAGTAAATTGAAAACCTCACTCTAACTTCTGAGTATGCTCAGAAGTAATGTAACTTCTGAAAGAAAACAGCATATGCCAAACCAAATTTTTGGGTTTTGTGCTATATAAACCACTCCAATTTAGATTATTTTTCACATGAGATGTAACACCAATATTAGCCAATTGATGCAGTAGAAGCTTTAAACAAACTTCATATTCTTCACTGAGTTCAGACTCTGTCACTAGCGGTTATAACAAAATGAAATGCAATTGATTGGTTTTGTTGTCTTCTGTTCTAATTAAGACCAATTTTAGGAAAGACGGATTTCATTAAGATAGATCTCAACCAACACGAAAGCCAAACTTACCCTGGTGACATCTCGCTCTATTCTCCTCTGTCTGTCTGTGGGATCACCCAGTCCTGTTAATGCATGACTTAGTTTGACAGTATTGATAATTGACACATATGAGAAGACCATGACTGTGACAGGTAGGAAAAAACAGCAGATAAAAATGGAGATGATGTAGGACTTGTAGATTGTGGAGAAGTTGGCTTTTGCCCAGTCTATCTCACATGTGCCATACATGCGATCTGGAAAGCAAGAATAGGTTGGTAAGCATTTTTAGAGTATTTATCTGCTTTTGAGCCACTAATTTTTCAGTTAAAATGCTAAATTTTTCTTCTGTTAAGCACTAAAGAATAGATTGGTCTTTCTGATTTAATGAGACGTAACACTGTTTCCTACAAAAACAATTTTTCAAGACCAGCTAGACTGGAACAAGTTTTAATGTGTATTATCATTCTGTCCAATTTTATTTCCAGTGTAAATCCATAATGCACAAACTGTTGTTTTAGGATAGAAAATTGTGATGCTTTACCAGAAAAAAAAAAAAAGAGTGGTCTTTCAGTAGGTTTGATACTCTTGAGTGATACCTACTTTTATTTGTCATAATACTCTACATAGTCACTTCCTAAAATGATCACTGTAACAGCATAACAAGGAATTCCAGATGCAATATGCCAAATGTAAAAACTCACTACTTACATAGCAAAGTAGGAAATAAAAACATTGGGGCTTCTTGAGGCAATGAAGCTTTTATGGCAGCAAGAGCCATGAAAGAAAATTGATACAGCTAATGATTAAGATTTATGTTATATAAATATAACTACTTCGAAAGATAGGAGAGCTTTAGCTAAATGGGAAGCACAGTCCTGCAACACAGAGTTGCATACTTTTAAAAATGAAGTCAGGCAGACTGCAGGATCTACACCTAGTGGGACACTAGCTGATCAGGTACTTAAGGAAAAGACAGTGGGAATAATGTGCAGTCCCTGGCTTAAATACTTTTATGAATAACAATTGACTTCTTTAGATCCTTTTGATGTGTTTGTAAAGGTGTCCTGATAGAAAACTTGAGTTCTATTACATTAGGGGTTCTCTGCATATTGTGAACTGTGGATTTTTCTTTTTCAGTGGAAAAAACTGGTGTTTTTTTCTGAAAGCTATGGCAGCAGATTGAATTACAAATAAACGAAGCATGAACCAAAATTATGTAAGTCAAGTATTAACAGGTCCTGGAGATACAATACTGGTGAAGACTGCATGATTTAGCAGCAGATTTCTCCCTAACATCCAGTGATAATTCTGAAGAGAAAAAAAATTCCTTAACTCCTCATAGATGATAGGAGGTTTAGACAGGATGAATTAAAGGAGCAAAAGATTAAAATCTCTTTTATGGTTCTCATCAAAAATAGCTCAGTATTTTTATCACCAAAAGCTCTAGGTGTTGCTGTCTCGGTGTGTTCAGTAATAGAAATAGATTTCTGTCTCCTTTGCCTTTTTCATCTGTAGACCTCAAAATTCAAAAGTATAACCATAAAATCTGGATTAATTCCGGGTTTCTGCTTTGTGAAAAATTTTGACTGAAGAATGAAGGCAGCCTCCAGATGACATGGAAAGAAAATCCTAATGATTTTCTGCTAATTGGAATTCAGAACTGTGTTTTCTCCTTCCACAGGGACACTGACAAGTAGCATTCCCAAAAATCACTGGGGTCCTGAGGACCACTGCAGCTACTGTGCAGAAGTGAGAAGTCAGGTGTAATGTGCTGTGGTCTGCTGGTACCTGCTGCTGGACTTGCCATTGCTGGGCTCCTGCATCTCCATGGATGTCCTCAATAGAAAATCTGTTTAGAGACAGAGAGCCCAGGAACATAAAACTGCTGTGTGTCTCAGTAGGGAAAAGCACTCCTAGAAGTGGTCTTGAAAACCACTGTCAAGGAATTGAATTCAAAGTACAAACTGAATCCATGGGGACACTTTAATACCCTGACAAGGCAGTGATGCTCAAGAAGTCCCTGGCTCCAGTTTAAGGCCGAAAACAAGCATCAGAAATCATTCTACGAATGAAGAGCTAGTAAGATTAACATAAAAAGAACACAGATCACCTGAAGATACACAGAAAATTACCCCTCGAAACCCACCAAGTTTATGTCATGTCCAGATTGCAAACCCCACAAAATTGGAACACTCTAATAAACAGTTTGAATTTGTCTCAAACCAAAGATCCATTGGTTTGTGAAGGATAGAAAATTTAAGCAACCATAGAAATGGATGCTTTTCTCACACCCATCCATATTTCAAGGCTCCAGAGATACCTCACCACTTATGTGTTTAATAACTAAGAGGATACATGCACATAGCTGGTTTAATAATTCTCCATGGATTTTGTGACTTCTTGAAGAATACAGAAGCCTACAGAATCCAGACAGGTAAGTGCTAGACAATATCAGTCACATGATTTCAGTTGCTGGGACTCCTGTATCATTACCATTTGTTCCTAGATATACATTTTGTTGAATTTTTTGAGGCTTAATATGAAACATTTTCTCCAGCTTTTCCTCATGAGGAAATATTCTCTCCTGGGAATATCCCTTAGCCATTGAATCACTGCAGTGTTCACTATACAATTTTTTTCCTTTTTTCCCTCCCGTTTCTTTTTTGATATGGCCTTATCTTGCACCCTAATCCTTTCTTGGACTGACAAACTGTCCAATATCTTTTTCTTCCTTTACTATGTTAGTTTCATATTTTCAACAAACTGTTTCTCCAGATCTTTCTAGCTTGTCTTATTATAGTTTCAACTTTAACTTGCTGAAACTTGTGTTCTTTTCTAGCTTCCTAATCTTGACAGTTTTTGAAGGATGTCTTTTGATAGTTTCCTTTATCTCATTGCTTAACCATGCCAAATATTTCTGGCCTCTATTTTTTTCATAGGTAATATGCACTTGATCCACGTCTTTCATTTGATATCTTCAAAAAAAACCTATTCATAGCTGATACTAAAGCAGGCAACACTCTGTGAGTACATCATGCATGATGAATAATTGTCTTAGTTCCACTGATAGTCGGTCTGCCTTATCACAAACAGCAAGAAAGCAAGGTAAGTATGTTTGTTCAGTTAAGTGGAGAGGTGCCAAATAAGTACAACTGAAAGATACCTGTTACCTGTATAACTGCCCCAGCCAAGTAATGGAGCTGCTGACCAGAAGAAAGCTGCTACCCAAATGAGAACCAGAGCCACTGTCATACTGCTGTTGCTGATGCAGTGACCTGCAATGGCATGCTTTTGTCAGAAAATAGTACTTAGAAAAGCAAACATATCTCTGAAATCTAAATGTACATCTATACCAACACACAATAAGTAAAATATGGCTATTAAAAAAAATTAAGACAAAAAATGCATATTCATAGGAAACACTTGATTTTGAAAGCATCTGTCAGGCTTGTGTTTCAGGCCATTGAACAGTGGAAATGAATGGCTTTTAAGCAGGAGACAATGAGTTTGATGAGCACTGCAGAATTAGCAAATTCTATGTTAGACTTATGTTTTGCAATTTTGTAAAACAGAGAAAACATTTGTGTTTTAAGTTTTACATAGAAACAAACAAAATAAGTCTAAATTCAGAGAATTTTCTCATGTACTTTAAGGTTTTCCCTGCTAAAAAGGAGAAAATTGCTTAAACTACATTAGCCATTTGATACAAATGATTCATTCTGTCCTGCTGTTGCCATACGCTGTGGTTATTTTTTCATTTATGTGGGAAATACTTGTGCATCCACCACTCTCAACATTCCTCAACTTTTTTTTAATGTTATATTGGGTACTTTCTAAGATTTCTTCAAGAGTCAAGCATAAATTATGCACACCCTCAGATGGATATGTGGTACAGCTTCGCAAAAGAGAAACATGGGTTTTAAATATGACTTCATAATATGAAATGAATAGGAGATGTAGAATTATATTAGAGCCAAATTCTAGCAGTTTCAACAGCAGTTTGTGTTGAAAATTAACTTCAACAAGTCTTTCATTACAACAAACTGCAGAAGAACTTCTTGTGGAAAAAAGAGCTCCCTGCAGAAGTTCTTTTTACAGCTAATACTACTCGTGCTATTAGAGAGAAAAACTCATATGGTGTATCCTTTGTATTTACATGTCCCTTACCTGCAGATTTTAATAGGTTCCTACCTGAAAGATGGTACAAGCCAATCATAACAAAGTCATGAAAACTGATCATACATTGTCTGAAGATCAGTGAAAGGAAGACTAGGGAAAATTTGTGGTAGGTGTAGGTATAAAGAGAGATTACATACGGCTCTCAGTGGAAGTCAAAGTTTTCAGCAGGTGAAAGACACTGGGCAAATGTTGAGGAAAAGTTTCTACTGATCCTGTGAAAGTGAGCCCCTGGGGTGAGCATAATCATAAAAAGAGGTATAAAGGGGAATGGGCATGTTTATATAGGCTTGCTGATGAAGGCTTCACAAGATAGAAAATGTGTAAAGGATTTCAGACTAGATTTGTACTGTGGGACACTCATATGCCCTCACAGAGGCATTTATACCAAAGATTAATAAAAAACAGAGTTCAAAAAACCAGAGTGGTGAGTAAAAGGTTTCTAGCGCTGGAGAGAGTAATGAAATGGAGTTGTTTGAGATATTTAGGTTACAGATCACCAGGGCACTAGAGCAGGAAGAAGTGTGGGTGCAAGAGTGTGGTGATGATGCTTTGCAGATCTTGGAGACAAGCAGGAGACTGGGATGATCCAAGCAGAGTTGGGTCATGGTCAGTTCTGGGGATGGCAGGAGTAATTTTCATCTCTCATGGTGTGAAAATGTCCACTAAGGGGAGGCTGGAGAGGCATGTAGGGATGGCAGGCTACACAGTGCTACAAAAGCTGGAGGAAAGACATACTGACTGAATGTTCCCAGTGCCATCTGAAGCAGTCCATGATGCCTTTTGTGCGCAAACCCTGGCAAAACACTAAAGAGTGAAAATGTCTGTATGTAGGGCAGCTTTCTGAATGAAGGATCTGACTGGAAACCTCCCAAATATCATCTCATAGAAGATTAAATTCATTGTTTCAGATCCAGACGATGATGTATCACTTAGGAGCAATTGAAGTTGTATTTTGAAGAATACAGAGTGTCAGCAGGACCTGTGGTATCTTTGGCACAAGATGAATTTAACCCATGGTGACCCAAGTGTAATAGTAATAATTTGACTCTTACTGGAGTTAACCCTGAAAGATTCTACGGAAACATGTTTGCAATGTGTATGACTGCATTATGTCCTGGTTTTCAACTAATTTAATTTATATTTAATATAATCTGTGACTGAGAGAAATACAGATTTGCACCAGGTTCAGTGAAAGCAGCATAGGACTTGCCTTTATTCCTTACCTCTCTCAGGATGGCAGCCCTTGATATAGCGAGTCACACTGATCACTGTAAGGGTATTAATGCTAGCCAGGCCAAAGAGAAGCGTCAGGAAACCATCAACCTGAAAAACAAAGCAGTGCAGGATGTTCTTTTACTGTAGAGAGCTGAAAGGGAAAAGAACCACAGGAATTTCTTCTGTCATTTTTATGTTAATGATCTCAAAAATTTTTCCAGAAAATCAACTAGCAGAGAAATACAAAATGTCAGGTGCAGTTATCTTCTATAGGATCAGTGAGCAAGTAAATGTTCAAAAATTATATAAGTGCTCTGTCATGTACATACAATAAACAAGCAAACACACCCTTAAATCTATGCTTCCCCTAAATGACTTGCCAAATGAAGGAGAAAAACTTTGAACTGAAAAGAAGAAAACCCCTGAATAGGCAAAAATGCACTAGATGCAGCTGCCCCACTTAGGCAGAACAAACATGCAAACTGATCCTACGACATTTATGCCAAAGAAGGAAGAATGTAGGGGTAATGAGCTTGGTTGAGTGAGAAAAGCTTTTAAAAAAAATAAAATAAAACCTAAATCATTCCAATAGATTGCACCTCAATGTTTGGTTCTCATGGTTGCCGGCTATTTATTAATCCCTGATCCTCATCACCTCTAACTGATGCAGGCAGAGCCGTACAGCTCTGTAGGCTCCTGCTGACATCAGTGTCTCAGCGAGATCACAGGGTGGTCACAACTCTGCAAGCTTCACTTATGGATGTAAGAAGGAAGTTGCTGTTGACTGTAGTAGAGAGGGATGTAGCCATCTGCTAGGGAGCACTGTATGACTGGGAAATGATCCAGGGAAAATGCTGAAGGCAAATCCTTTTTTTTGAAAGTTTGCAATGATATACTAAACTGTATAGTATATACAGTTTATATACAGTATATACTAAACTGTATACTAAACTGTATATGCAGAGCTCTTGGAGGTGCCAGTTTTACATCAAGTGAAGCATGAATATTAAGCGTCTCTGGACTGTCACTTGGCATTCAAATGGTAAAGTTATCAGTGGAAAGGCACATCATTATTTTACAGGAACAAACTGTCTTTGTGTGAATGGGCACAAGTCCCATGGAATTTGGTTTATCCCAGCTCTGAATCTGGGGCTTTAATCCAGGCTTAAATCTAAGACCACGGCAGATTGTATAAATTAAATTGGGTGAAGGGTTAGGAAAGGACTGCTTCATCATTTGTTTTACTGGTGTTTTTTCTTACTACCTTCTATAGACATTATATATTTCTTAATGCCAGCTTTTACAGACCCACCACATTTTAAACCCATGCCAGGCTTGCTCCTACAACAATCTACACGCACCTGTGTTCTGCTTACAATCAGCTCATGCTTGGTGTATAAATGCAACCATGTTTAAACCTCAAAACAGACTTCCTTGGATGTTTCAGCTACTTGGTAGAAACTGCACTTGGCTGAATTTGACCTGTTGAGTGCTGTGGAGGTTGGTGAAATACCTGGATGTGTAAATGTACTCTGCATTTCATTAACCTTATTGATGCGAACAGCTGTCACTTCTCCATTAGTTCTAATAATGCTTCATAGATGCATGGCCAAGGACTGCATAAAATTAAGCAATTGCATTAGTTATTGGATTAGAAAGGAAGCAGTATTTCAACAATGATGCAAATAAACACTTTGAAATTAAGTCCTAAGAGCTATGAGATTGAATGCTTAAATAGCAGGACAGGCTTCTCACTATATATCATAGCCCTGTGTTGAAATTGGTGGAGTACTCCTAACACATATCTGTGTATGATTTATCACTGGCAGATGATATTTTTCTCCCACCCTCCTTCCCTGATGTCAGACCAAAGAGAGACAATTATATTAAGTGATCAGTTCAAACAGCCCTTGATCACACTTATAAGGGAGGAAGGTGTGTCTAAAAATACACTCTTGTCCTTTACCATTTAAGACAAAGCTATCACCATAAGAATAAGCCTAAATGTTTTCTTTGGAGTGGTATCTTGCTAAAAAATGCAATTTTATCTAAATCAACTTAGTTTATAGGACTGAGCCACTGTCAGTGCCATGTCTCATTTCCATATTATTTCTTAACAGCATTTCATCAGATCAAATTACTGTTGTTTCTGCCACTATGGGGGCAACCACCAGAGGTGTTACTAGGGCCATATGGTTAGTAAGTGTCTAAGTGGCAGCAATCTTCTGGGGCCAGCTGTGCTCACTGTCCCCATGATGGCCACAGGCTCGGTGGTTTAGGAACAGGTGACAGGGTGACATATCATGGAGGAGAGGGAGCTCTGGGGATGACAAGTGCTCAGATGAATTGAATAAATTGTGGTTCTGAAGCTGTAGAACAGCCTATACAGCCTATACAGAGGCAACACCATCTGGAACATTAAAACACAAGAGAGCATCCAACAGGCTGCTTTGGAAGCAGGATTCTCAAACCACTCTTTCCCCTGCCAAAATTCTATTAGCAACAAGTTACCTCTTGAGCTCAGCTATGTATACACCATTTCCCAGCAAGTCTATCAATTCTGAAATGCTTTTATATTGGTGTCACTTAGACATATGTCTTCAGAAGAGAACAAGAAATCTTCTAGCTGTAACCAACTTACTTCAAACATACATCTACTGGATATGGAAGAAAGATCTCTGCTACTTTTTCTGCTGCTGAACAGACAATTTTGATCATAGGTGGCAAGGCAGCTGCTTGGAACACAAAGTAGTTACCAACAGAAAAACGGTTTTAATATAGTACCAATTTCTACAGACAAGATTAATATCTGTAGGTTACAAGAATGTGTGATAATTTTGGTTTTCTACATCTTTAAAGATATATGGAATGACAGCCAAGGAAACACTAGAATAGTAGATAACGTTTAATTACTTTGGAAGATGGATGCTCTTTCCCTTACACAGTTCTGCATTTCCCTTTCTTTTATTCTACCTCACAGCCAGCCCCATCCTTCCATAGTTGTAATATTTCCTCCATTTTTGTGTAATGAAATGTTGTCCTTTCTGTTATCAATTATGATCAGATAGCAGCAGTGTTAATAGGCAATAATGAATTCTGACATAAACACAAAGTTAATTGCATGGTAATTTTGGTTCACCAGTTTTCCTTTTTACCCATTAAGAAACATGATTAGATTAGCAGTTTTAAAAGCTTTTCTCTCAGTGCTATACCAGTATTACTCCCTTGGCTATATAGATAGTCATGGAACTTGCTCATTATCTTTATGCTGCCTGGAAGCTACGACATAACTGGAGAAAAAATTGTGGTTTTTTTCTGCTTTGTACTTGTGCCTGACTTTAAATCTCACTAATACTCTTGGTGTACTATTTACAACCCACAATACATAAAGCTCCTATTGCATGCAAATTCATTGACTTCAACACAGGGAGAGTCAGGAATCCCCAGTGCACTATCAAAGTTCTGGCTGTGAACTTGGGTGTGCCCCACTTATACTACCTTTAGTACTTATGAATCCCTACTGATTCATAACAGCTGTCTTCATTTAAAGCAGAGTAAAATATAACCTATTGTTCTTATTATTGGATAAATCAAGATTTCATAGCACAAAAGCAGATTCCCAAAATAGTGATTTCATTTCAGTTTAGGCTGAAATAATAATAATAATCTAGTGGTTAGAGTGCCTGACTCTCACCTCTGCGACCCGGGTTCGATTCCCGGCCCCCTGGGCAGGTGGAGCTCGTCAGCCTTGGTAGGCAATCCACCTAAGAGAAGGTCACTCTAAACAAACCTACATCCTGGGGACCTCACTGCCACTGTCCAAGCTTTGCTCGGCCCCGGCAGATGAACCTCAGGACTAAAGGGTGGGCTCAGTTCAGCGCACGCTGTGTCTCACCTAAAAAAATCCACTGCGCAGGCTGGAAGGGTTAATGACCTTTCCCAAAATCTTCGCTCGCGAAGACTGGCCATTATATATATATATATATAGGCTGAAATATTGATCTCACCAGCCAGAAAGGCTGCATTGCTCCCTCCTCTGGCCAACTGGCGAATCTTTTGCAATTTCCCCAAGTCCATTTGTTTCCCTCCAGAACCACATGTCCTGTCTTTTTCTTCTGTTGAAAATGAGATAATGAGTATATAAAGAAAAAGATAAACTTTAAACAGGGATTATTTGTCCACAGCATATATCTAAAGTTGCCACAACAAACTGTCTCAAAATATTTTTTTAATACAGATCTGATTATTCCGAGATCATAATGTAAATAAATAATGACAATAAATCTCCTTTCAACACCAAGAGATAAAAAAGCACCTAAATCAGTCTTCAAGAAATACACTTGTAAAAGCAATTGTAGATACTTTTGATTAGATGCTTTAAAATGAAAAAAATTGAATGTTTTAAAATTTAACAATTTCTTAGTTTGCAGTAAATGCAAAAATATCCCACCTGAGTCTGAAGACAACATAATTCCCCCATCCCTCCAATATACAATAATGTGTCAACAGAACTATTTTGTCACATGGAAGAACTACTGAGGTCTGTAATCAAAATTAGTCTTCACAGAAGACCACTTCAAACTTGCAATGCACAGCATTCCTAAAGCACTCAAATAGTTCGTTTAAGATTTCCTACAATACAGGAGGTGAAAGAGACTTATAATTTACTACAGTTTCCACAGCATCTTTTGCTCATGAGGCATGTCTCTGCTATGGTTGCATTCTGCCTTTTAAAATGTCTTAGTAGGCTTCAAGGGTAGCTATTCT